TTCCTTTTTTCCCGAAAAAAACACAAGGCACGCGCGGACAGGCTACGGCGCCTGGCTACGGGGCTCTAGGGTTGCACGCGGCGGTGGCGGCGCCAGACTCCCGCGGTGGCCGCCCTCCGACGCGGACGGGCCCCGGCGGCTGCTAGCCCTTTACCCATGCCCCGTGCGCATCTCTGTCTCCCTCTCTCCCGATGCGAGCCGGCCAGGGGCTTGGGGGCCGCGGCGGGCGCTGGCGAGGAGCTGGGCGCCCTGCGCGAAGTGCTGGCTCGACTGGGCTGTGGAGGAGCAACCGCCGGCGTCGGAGCGGCTCAGCCGCAGGGCGACACGACGTGGAAGGGAGTGGAGCGCGACGAGGAGGAAGAGAAGGTCCTTGATGTAAATTTGCCGTAAGTTTTCGATTTATGGCACATGTTGTGGTTCTTGGACGAGATCTGTGGCTGGGGCTGCAACAATCCCGCCTGAATTTTAGCTTTTCGAAGAGGTAGTTTAATTGCTACGGTTTCTCAAATCTTGGGGATTTTTTTCTCACCATTTTCTATCACAATTTCTCTGTCCAAATTGGGTGAGCACGCCAATGCCATCATGGCGAACGGGGAGGCTGCAGAAGCAGGCGTTGCTTCGCCGCGGAGCCTGTTCCTGGTAGCGGCGCCAGCGCCACACGCCGAGCTCAGCCCGATCGCGCGGCTGTGAGACGCGCACCACCGGCACAGCTACCAGCGCACGTCGTCCGAGAGCTTCCTCGCCGACGAGTAGCCGTCGTCGCCGGACGACCTTCTCAACGAGCCCAAGATGTCGTCGTGGCTGTACGACCTGCTCCAGTATATTGCATAGCTCGAGAGAAGAGTTCAGCCCTTACAGGTAATCCTTTTTTCCCGAAACCAACCATATTAGTCGTTTGTTGCATGAGTTAGAAACCTTAAACATCCTATATAATTCTTGAATTTTTATGATTGCAGACAGATGGGATAGAAGTATCTGCTTAAATGGATTTTCTCGGATAGCAAAATATCATGTTAGACTTCGAAAATAAAGCCTTGAAGCAACTGCTTGAGAGTCTGTCTCACGAGCATTTCATTAAACACTGTAAGTATTCCTCTTTCTTTCCCGGAGTTTCTTTGGTGACATATGTCTTATGTACTTAGAAATTATGATAGCAGTCAGGTTTCTGATATCTGAGTTTGGTGAATGGATGTTATATGTTAAAATTTTATTTTGAAAATGATTCTTGTGATGGAGCTGTAGATATGTTAGGAACCGATAAAAAATATTTTTTGTTCTAAACTAAGTGCCAACTATATGCCTACTGTTCACATGTTCTTATAATATCTTAGTTCTAACTAAAAACATAGAGGATTACCATATTTCATCAATATTTTTTTCATTCTAGATCAATATGTACCAGTGCCAGTGTGCAACACTACAACTTGACTGATATAAAAAAATACTAAATAATATTCATGTGTTGCAAATGTCAGAATTCCTTTTATTTGTGAACTCAATTTATTTATTTTTCATTCTAAGGTACTATAGAATTCTATATACAACTCAATTTACCGAAACCAAAAGTTCAGTATTCAGATGGGACAAGAGTAACTATCTCATGATCAATAATCCTGGTTTGTTCTAATTGTTCTGAATTTCATTGCATGACTATGATGAATCCTTGAGCTACATATCAGTACTCACTTTTGGGGTCTGTCTATATAAAAGAAAAATAAGTAGAAGGAAAGAGGAAAAGATATACCTCCCTTGCATGTTTTTTAAGATCCTACTATGTGGTCCTCCTTGACTTCCATGCTTTGAAGTCTAGTTACGATTCAGCACTAGCATAGCTTATAGCTAACACAGATAACATATGTTTTTGGCTTAATTTTGATGCAAGGTATGCCAATTTATTTAGTCTGTTAAATTTGTATTTGACACATAATATCAAATTAGTTCTGTGCCAAACCAAATATTCACTTAAATCTGTACCCAGTTATCTTATTTTGGAGGAAACACTACTGCCCGCCGCTACTGCCGGCTGAAGATCCTCGCTGGTACTTCGCAATGTTGACGCCCGGAGATACACGCGATGCGCTAAGCGATATCACCAACATCGCAGGTACGCTTTCAGTATAAACAACACTTTCGTCTGAATTATGACATCTAAACTTTTGGATGTTTACACGCACACCTTTCATTCAAATGGGTTGAACGGAGAGATGTATCATTTTACTTTGCCAAACTCAAAGCACTCGAGTATTTGTAACCACATGTTTTCAGTCACGTTAATTCTGCAATGAATTTTAGTCAGTGAAGATAAATTTGTGTTTCTGAATTCTGATATTTTTCAGGGATTTATCACACAATAAGTTGGAGGGCTCAATTCCTGATGTTTTTTCACAGCTGCCATCTCTCATGGTTATGTGAGTTTTCTGATCCTGATGACTTTCATGTCTTAGAGTTTAGCTATAAACAATTGCTAATACTAATCTAATCATTAAACACTACTGAAAAATGATTTTTAGACTGGTCCATAATTTTTAGGACTACGCTACTTGATTTATGGTGGAGGCGGGCACCTGCTAGATGCCCGACCTGCAGCACCAGGATCGCCACTGACATTGCTTGCTCTTTGCGAGTTTTACTGATGGGTACGATTTATGAATGACATGTGTCAAAAGCTGTTACGACGAGGAAATTAATAATTTAGCTTATTATCTGCCATGTACAGCTATCAACTTCACTGAGGATGAAATTCTTGGCAGACATTTTGAAGAGCCGCGTAAACGAATGTTTTGACAGCTTTCCTAAAGATCTCCAAGTCATGATTAAAGACTTAGGCATAATGTAACTTAGATGGTTAATATGAGAAACAACTTTACTATGCCTTCTTATGCAAAAGTGTTTCTCGGATTGTAAACATGCTCAAATACAATTATGTAAAAGTTGAACTATGAAAAAAAAAATCATTGGTTGTTTTCATGTGGATCCCCAAGATAAAACCGTGATGCTAGCACGGCATTATACTAGTGTGTACAAATGTTTTTTTTGTTATGTATACAATCCATTTATTTGTATTTCGTCATACATAATTGTTAGCGGTTTGAACAGTCTTCCAATATGAAAATCTTGGCTCCGGCCGCCTCTAACCACAGGGCAGTGACGGACCGTCGAGAGAGTCCACCTATAGTTGTGACAGACAACGGCAGACGAAGAAAATACAGATACAGATAGCGAGTGTAGGCCAAGCACGTCTGGAAGAACGTGGTGCGAACCACACAACGCTTACTCGCTTAGCGACGACGAAAACCAGCAGTCTGTTCTTGTGGTTAGAAATGTACGCTAAAGATAAAAGAAGAGCAAAACACGCGTGCAAGCCAATTAAGACGACCTAGCTTATTGCCCTTTTCTTTTCCATCTAGAAGAAGAAGAAAGACCTAGCCAGGCACCGCTGCTTGTAGTTGTCCTCCACTGCATCTGCAGCGACCCAGAGCAAAGCAACCCCTTCCTCTCCGATTCTTGCTGTCCTGTCCGATCCTCCCAATCTATGTTCTCTATTGCCTATATAAAAAAATTTTGAAGCCAAACGCCAATTCGACCGTTATTTTGACTCTAAATCTTATCGGATCCTTCTCAACGCTACGATCCTTCTTCTGAGATACTTCGGTTTGTAAACATCGTACGTGACAAATTGTGCGAAACATTCTCAATTTTTTACCACAGCCTCCACATATGATATCATCACATCACGAAAAATATCATAATTTTCAGACTTCGTTTGTTTTTTTTATAATTTAAAAACCAATCGGCCACACGTTCGTGGTCGTGTTTTCTGACTAAGATGTTCGAAATTTCTTTTTATTTCCCGGATAAGGCCTCACACCGGACTCAACGACATGAATATCATTTTTCTATTCATTTTATTTTATTATTTGAATCACTTGCGGTTCAAATTTGACTTATACCAAAAAAAATTCTAGAAATGCAATAAATTAATTAAATATAGCAAACAGATCCAGAAATATACCAAATTTTAACATGGAATACCACATGTTGTACGTGGAGAGTAGAAAATGTTTCAAGGTCAGAAGAGAAAAAAAAAGAAATTATTTGCCGAGTGCCACAGGTTTACCCTCGGCAAACATATTTCTTTTGCCGAAAATATTACAGTTTAGCACTCGGCAAACATATTTCTTTGCCGAGTGGCTCCCTTTGCCGAGTGTTTTTTTTTGTCTCTTTTGCTGAGTGTATTTGTTTGTCGAGTTTTCCACTAACGGACACTCGGCAAACGTACTAACGGACGGCACACGTACTAATGGATGTGGACTTTGTCGAGTGCCTAGTTTTTGCCGAGTGTTTTTTTTCTCGTTTGACGAGTGCCCAACTTTGCCGAGTGTTTTTTGCCTATTTTACTGAGTGCAATTATTTTTTCGAGTGTTTTTATGACAGTACTGGGCAAATAGCTTCTTTGCCGAGTGCCCGATAGAATGCAATAGGCAAACATTTTAGCACTCTGACAAACAACCAGTTTCCGGTAGTGGTTGTTACCATAAACATACACCTTATAATTAAGTAAACAAAAAGACAGTACAGGAATGTACAGTAAGCTTTTGTTAGGGGATGAGAGGCAGAGGCAATAATCGAATCGATGATGACCACACTGACACACGCCTGACCGCTTCTACACGGAAGGTCAAGTCGGCAGCAGATGACGACGGAGGGAGTGCGCGTGGGCCTTCACGCAGATGCCTGACCGCTTCTACACGGAAGGTGGGCCTTCACGTGGGCCAGTACGAAGTTGCCTGACCGCTTCTAGATCTTTCCAATTCCGACGACCTCAAGTATGTTGACCTCAAGTATCTAGATCTTTCCAATTCCAACTTGATCTGCAGTATCCTTTGCATCCACCTACTATAATAATAACACTCTCACTCCAGGACGGATCCACTCCGACTCCAGAACTGATCCTGCCATTCTCTTCTACCATAGCGACATTATTGTCGATGGTTGCCACCATGCATTGCCTAGCTGCTACCATGCTCGTGTTGCTCTGCTGCTGCTGCTTGTTCCTCGCCACGCAGCAGCAGCAGCAGCAGCAGCTACAGCCAGCCGCCGGTGGTAACAGAGAGAGCCCGAGCTGCATACCACACGAGAGGGACGCCCTGCTGGCATTCAAGGACGGCGTCACCAGCGACCTTGGCGGCGTCCTCAGCTCGTGGCGGCGAGACGGTCGCCACGACGAGCAAGACTGCTGCAGGTGGAGAGGCGTCCGGTGCAGCAACCGAACTGGCCACGTGCACGAGCTTCGACTTGGAGGTGGAGGCACCTTCCAACCAGATTTGGCCGGCCAGATAAGTCCTTCTTTGCTTGCTCTGGATCACCTAGAGCACCTTGACCTCAGCGGGAATGATCTAGCAGGGCCAACGGGTCGTCTTCCCGAGTTCTTGGGTTCTCTAAAGAATCTCAAGTATCTTGACCTCTCTGGCATACCGTTCTATGGTGGCCTACCTCCCCAACTTGGCAACTTGTCAAGGCTACAGTATCTAGATCTTTCCAACTTATACTATGGAGGCATGAACTCGACGGATCTCTCATGGTTAACACACATTCCTTCCATACAATATCTTAACTTGAACAGAGTGAACCTCAGCACAGTAGCGGATTGGCCTCGTGTCATGAATATGCTTCCTTCTTTGAGGGCGCTCCATCTTTCATTCTGCTCTCTTGCAAGCGCAAACCAGTCACTGCCACACCTGAACCTTACATATCTCGAGGAGCTGGATGCCTCCCTGAACTCCTTCCACCATCCAATGGTGACCAGCTGGTTCTGGAACATAACAAGCCTTAGATTCCTTTACCTCAACTACACTAGTATGTACGGTCAATTTCCGGATGCTCTTGGAGACATGACATCCCTGCAAGTCCTTGATCTTTCATATCTTTTTGATTATCATGATGATGACAAGAACATGCGCAGCATGACCATGGATCTGAAGAACCTATGCAATTTGGAGGTCCTGAACCTTGAATGCACTCTCTTATATGGTGACGTAGCTGAGCTGTTTAGGAATCTACCTCGATGTTCACCCAACAAATTGCAAGAATTGGACCTCGGTTCAAACCATTTAACCGGGATGTTACCAAGATGGATAGGGCAATTCATGAGCTTGGTCATTCTAAACTTCAACTGGAACAAGATCACAGGATCTCTCCCAACATCTGTAGGACAATTTACTGGTTTGCAGATCCTTGACCTCTCTTTCAACAACCTAAACGGACATGTCCCATATGAGATTGGAAAGCTTAGTAATCTGACCTATCTGGATCTAAATACAAATAAACTAGATGGCACGATAACCGAGGAACACTTTGCTAGTGCAAGGAGCTTGCAATATATAGACTTGTCATATAATGCCCTCAAGATTGAGATCAGCTCGGACTGGCAACCACCATCTACATTAAAGTATGTATCCTTTGCATCCTGCCAGATGGGCCCACTGTTTCCTGGGTGGCTTCAGTGGAATGTGAGCATCACCTATCTTGATATCTCGAGTGCAGCTATAGCTGATAGGATTCCACAACGGTTCTCCGATGCCTTTTCAAATGTTTGGTTCATGAACATCTCCAACAATCAACTCAACGGAACTTTGCCGGCTGATATGGGCTCCATGTCACTTCTAGAACTCTACCTTAGTTCAAACAAATTAACTGGTCAGATACCCACGCTGCCACCAAACATACATACCTTGGACTTGTCCAATAACTTCTTGTCAGGACCTCTGCCCTCTGCTACTAGATCCGCCAAACTAAGACAGCTTTCTCTGTTCTCCAACCGACTCACTGGTCATATTCCTGAATCTTTTTGTAAATATCAGCAATTAGTTGTGTTGGACTTATCCAACAATTTTTTGGAGGGAGAACCGCCGTTGTGCCTCGGGGTAACGGAATATATGGAATTTGTAGCCTTAAGTAACAATAGTTTGTCGAAAGTTCCGTCTTTTCTCGCAAAATTGACAAATGTGCACTTCCTAGATTTGTCTTGGAACAAATTCTCTGGAAGATTGCCAATGTGGATTGGAAGCTTAACATCATTAAGAGTTATACGATTAAGTCACAACAAGTTCTTTGGCAGCATTCCAATGAACATCACAAACCTTTCTTGCCTTCAAAGACATGGATCTAAATAACAATAAGATATCAGGCTCTCTGCCGATCTACCTATCAAATCTTAAATTTATGACAAACACATACATGATGGGTTGTTATGATAGAACTGAGATAGTTTTATCTCATCTTAATAGTTTGTCTACGGTCTGGAAGGGGCACGTATTGAGCTATGGTACCATTCAAAGAATTGTGGAGACAAGTATGACGAGCATTCATTTATCTTGGAAGGGGCAGGAATTGTACTATGGTTCCATTCAAAGAATTGTGGAGACAGGTATGACGAGCATTGATTTATCTTCAAACGACTTAACCGGTGAAATTCCAGAAGAAATAGTTGCTCTTGTTGGGTTAGTGAATTTGAATCTGTCAAGGAACCACTTGACCGGAGTTATTCCAAAGAAGATAGGGGAAATGCGATCACTGCAATCATTGGACCTCTCGAGGAACATGCTTTCAGGGGAAATACCAGCCAGCCTGTCAAATCTGACGTTCTTAAGTTACTTGGAATTATCATACAACGATCTTACAGGAAGAATTCCATCGGGAGTACAGCTTGATACCCTGTATGCAGGGTATCCATCTATGTACATTGGCAACATCGGTCTTTGTGGACATCCTCTTCAAAACAATTGCTCGAGTGAGCGTCATGCACCAAAGCAAGGTGGCCTGGGAAGAACTGAAGAAGGTTATGGGATACCATTCTTTTATCTTGGACTCGGGTGCGGCTTCGTGGTTGGTATATGGATTGCATTTGGTGTTTTGTTGTTTAAGAGAAACTGGAGAATTGCTTGCTTTCGATTCTCGGACAAGTTGTACGACAAAGTATATGTCCTTGTTGCTACATGGGCCGAGCAAGACAAACACAAACTGATTAGCAAGTATGAAGCAAAGGCGATGGTCGGCGTTTCAACTAAAATTAGCCAATGCATGCATGTATGAATAATGGAAGTGGAGAGAAGTCTTTTTCAGGAGTGCTTTGAATTTTGTTACTACCAGTATTACATATTGCCATGGTTTTCTTTTACTGAAATGAAGATTTGTGTGTCCGTGTTTACTCTTAAATCTTGTAATAAACTGAGAACCGACACTTGATCATTGGCCAACATTAGTGTTTGTTGTACAAGATAGATATTAGTTGTTAGTATATAGATAACATAAGTATGTTGTAAACTCTGGCTGATCTTCAGGATGTTGGTTTGTAGTCTGTACAAGACGTTCGCCTGGTCAGCTCAGGGTGCTATATAACACGTAGACGCGGCCTTTACAGAGGTTAACACGCTTCACCAAGTTTTACAGTAATAATTATTTCCTTATGATGATGAACATTAAGACATGGTCAATCAATTCCATGTAGCACTTCACTACATCATTGGTCCCTGTGGGCCATGGTAGTCGGATCCGGCAACCTGAATACGACCTATCGTTGCATGTTCCACGCTCATCGTCCACATTAGGGCTTGTTTGGCTGCACCTGTATCCACCTTAGTCCACGTGTGTTGAAGTGGATTGAGGTGAATACAATGTGCAGCCAAACAAGGCTTGGCATGCCGTGGAATTTCAGTGTACCTAGGCGAGGGATGATATGAATCAAAATATCATGGTCTCATCTGCAACCAGTGTTACATATAAGCAACATTCACTTACCATACACATTGAACAAGAAAGCAGAGAACAAGGAGAGCAAATTTCTCAGAAATTGAAGAGCTCAAGACGTGAGCACCGCTTAACTGGTGGAGCAGTAGTATACTACTGCACCTGCAGTACCGCTACCTACAAACTGGAGAGCGCTGCTAGTCAAATCTCAAATGGGGTGCAAAATGACTTGGGGATAGTACTCCAGGCACATTTGAGATGATGACTTTTTATGATCAGGCAAATAAAGAAAATAAAGTTTTCATTAAAAAAAAGTTTATATATAGTCACCAGCATGATCTTTGTTACGTACCATCGCAAGGGAATAATCATGTTCAATCTGCCCACACTCGACTCAACACAAAACTGCTAATATGGTCATAATAAAAAAACGAAAACTGAACCACGAAATGACGATGGTCCGGTTCTGGTTCTCTTCATCATAGACGAAAAGCAACACATAAGGCAGTCTAAGATGATAAACAAATGATTTATTCACAGCTCTAAACAAGTTATAAACTAAATCAGGCACCACCAAAAAACAAGAACGCAACTTCACCAAAAGGCTACAGATCGAACTGTGTAACCTTTATAGAGTAAATCTTAGCAATTCCAACTTTCCAACAACCAGCGGCCACTTGCAGGTTGCTAGCTGCAACGGCTGCTGCTGCATCTCTCCTTCCATAGCTACCTTTTAGGCTTTTACATACCACATGCTGGGACTTGGACGGCGCTGGCGTCGTCGCCACCCTGACCGGCCGTGGCCCGCGGGGCTATTTTTCAGTGGAGCGAGACGACGACGTCTGCGAGCCGGCTTTCATGCATGTACGGCGCCAGTGACGACAACGCCCTGGGCCTGTCGTCGGCCCTGTCCGCCCGCAGGGCAGTTTTTCCAGCGGAGCCGGAGGGAGACGACTCCCGCGAGGCGGCTTTCACTGACGACAGCGCCGGGGACGCCAACGTGAGCCGCCAGTGCTTGACGCGCGGGGCGAGGTCGTCGGCGGGCCCAGGAGTACGTGGCGACGGTCCTCTTGACGGCGGCGGTCCCGTTGGTGTTGAGCGGAGGAGCAAGAGGAAGCCATGTGTGCAGTGTGCTGTGGGCCTAGCGCGCTTAGCTTCCTCGGCGTTGGAGGGGGGAGGCGACGTACCTATGCAGTAGAGAGGCATGACGGTGTGGTGCGGGCGACAGCTGCTGGCTTTGTGTAGTGAAGGCGTGAAGTAGGAGGATGTCTCACCTCAGACAAACGTGGTCGTCACGATTACTATTGTGCTGAAATTTTATTCTGGGCAAAGGAGTACAGCTCAGGGAAAGCATTCAAATGTATCTGCCCATTCCATATGTCCTGCCAAAAGAGAGTGGAAGCCCCATTGTTTAAACTGACATTTAAATTGACAGTTGACGATCCCTTGAACGTGTATAAGAGTTTATTAAGTGCATCTCTCTCCAGCAGATGGATCCCTAATTGGCTACTTCACGTGAGTAGGCAGCTTGCCATTTCTGTAGTGCTTCTCCCAAATCAAGTGAACCCATGGAACATCTAACTGACTGAAAAACTTATGAAGATGCATCAAAAGAAGTGCCTCATTTGTGTTTTTAGGTTTATGACCCCCAAACCACCTTCAGTTTTAGGCGAGAGGGAGGCCAAGGTAGGTAAATGGCATAGAACCTTCTTGAGAAGCCAAAGTTGAATTTAGTTTGGAAGCACTACCAATAGACTACAGCACCGCTCCAAATATAGTTTTGACAGCTATATTACATTATAAGTGAGCATCTAAAAAATTAAATTCGCTTTTTATGAAAGTACTTTTTAAGACAAATGTATGCATAACTAAATACTTTTAAAGTTATATATAATCAAAGTTTTTAAAATATCTGACTTAAATATTTCATAAAAAAAGGTCAAGACTTTGGAAACGGGAGGAAGCATGTATGTATTTCTTCTAATATTAAAGAAAGAACGTTTTCTTGGTTTGGTTCGTCCTTTGCTTTTAGAACCTTTTTTTGTGTGTCTCTCTCGTTTGATCTAACCTGAATACGAATACTAATCCTAATCCTAATAAAAAACCCTAGAATAGAAATTTGGATTCGTCTCATTCGTCTGATCTAACCTGAATACGAATCCTAATCCAAATAAAAAACATAGGAATAGAAATTTGGCTTCGTCTCTCTGGTTTGATCATCTAACCTGAATATGAATCCTAATTCAAATCCAAATCAAAACATAGGAATAGAATTTTGGCAAATATAAATTAGACCAAGCCAAATCAAAAGGGGGTGGGAATTTAAATCAAAAGAATCTTACTATTACTATTTAGAAGCCCAAACAGAGCCACCACGTTAATTCCCACCAGATGTGCGAGAGAAAAAATATAAATCCTAAAAATTCCATGGCTGACACATTTATATACTGAATGAATGTTTGTGATAGAACAACTGAATGACTGTTATAGATCATTGCATATACTTTTTCACCTAACAAACCACCAAACAGATCCCAAATTACCATAGGAAAATGCAATCCCCACATCCAAAATATCTACAACTCAAAAGGGGTCAAAGGCATCACCTCAGCCAATTTAATTAGCTTCTCGATGGTTTCATAAGCCGTTGTTGCCTTGCAGCGGTCGGCCAAAAGTCCCACAGCTGCGCCTTCTAAAAACATGTAGCATTAGATGCTATCAGTATTCTTAACAGTTTAGAAGAGCCTGAAGCAAGTTAATTGATTTAATATAAACTAATTTGCCTGGCCAAAAAGATTTATTGGTCTTTAAATAAGCCTGAGGGCAGTAGTACCATAAAAAACAAACCAAGCTATCAGGATTATAGTTGACGCTACAACTTTTTACAAAAGATCAAAGATTAACAAGCAATGAAATAACTGGAGGAAATTCCTTACTGAATCTACTATCTTGTACTGAATTTTCCACCAGCACCTACAGCATCTATCAGAAAGTTACTTGCATTGCATTATAGAACAGGAGGTAGGTGACAAGCAAACTAATTTCAATCCTGCTCACAGGAATTATATGCCCAAACCATCATTCACAGAAATCCAAACAAAAACTACAAATAGACCCAACTGCACAGTGCACAAAAAGGCATCGGCAATCACAAAAAATTCTAACAATCATAGTCGGATGGGATTTCAGATACCAATAACTGCGGAGACAGATCTCAGCAGGGCCTAGCGCACACCAGACTCCTCCAAACCTAGAAATTTGAAAAACCTACAAGCACATGCATCCACCAGATCAAACCCCTACCAGCGAAACCCTAATGAAAATCACAAACAGCAGCAGGGGCACACCGCCGCTGGTGCTATGCGGTCTGGCCATGCAGGGGAGGGCATGTCTCCGCCCCTGCTATGCCTATCCGTGCCCGGGAAGGGCGCGCCGCCGCGGCCGCTATGCCCTCCCGCGTTGGGGAGGGGCGCACTGCCGGCCTCGCCGCGCGCCCCGCCAGCGTAGGGTAGGTGCCCGCGCAGGGGAGGCATGGGACCTGAAGTATGCGGGACGGGGGCGTGCGGTGGCTATGGGTGGCGGCAGATAGGGGAGGGTGTGTATAGTGGATGCGAGTGGCGGTGGATGGGAAGGGGCAACGCAGTAGATGGATGTGTGTAGACTGTGGGAGGGAGGCTGGTGGATTAGGTTTAGAAAATTTCTTTTCTTTTTAATTTTTTATTACAAGCCATCACAGTTTAGAGCGTTCTATCACCTCGTATACAAACCGTCTCAGATAAGGACTTTCTATGACAATTTCTTATAACATCATTTTGAAACCATCATGTATAAGGGTATTTCTTGTAGTGACATGTCACTGAGATGGAAGTTGCGTGTCAAAACTGCTCAACGTCGGTCAAAACAGCCTTGCCCCCGCCCAGGTGCTAAAAGTGAACGGTTTTAACAGTTGGGATACCGGTACTAGACGGTTTTGTAGTTGAGGGTTAAAATTAGACCGACACAATAGTTGAGGGACCAAAAGTGGACTTAATCCTAATTTTTAACTAGAGGTCCCTGATGGAGCCTCCACGTTAATGCTCATAAGACTCGATAGGAAAATAGTATATAGATCCTAGAAAATCTCACAAAATTTGAAAACATCTGGCCATCAATTCGATATAACCTAATCACCATTCATAATAATATAATAGCTCTCGGAACTATTTGATTTTCTAAATAATTACCCACCTTTGCTATTGCGTAGAACAATATGAAGTAACCAATGACTCTATGTTTAAACTACCCACTTATGCCATTACGAAATATGATCTAAAGTAGACCTAAATTTGCATCTAATTACCCATGTC